CTTCACACTTTCTGATGGTAACTTTCTCTTTTACTTCATCTTTTAAAAAAATCTCCTCTGAAAATCTGTCTCCAAACACCTACATATCTCTCCACATCTCTCTTCTACTCCCCATTTCCACATCTCTCTTCTACACAGTTCTCTACCTCCCTCCTCAACAGAAATCTCTAGACAACATATGAGTTAGATTTTCAGGATCACATAGCCTTTCTTGAGTAAACAACAAGAAACAGAGCCATGAGAAATCCAACAGTTTTTCTCAGGCTAGAGATGTTTCCCTGACCGGGCATGGTGAGTAACCATGACAACTCTCAGCTATCAGCCAAGTCCCCTGATCTGCTGTCTGTGGAGCAAGCACATAGCTCTGAGTACGAAACATTTCCCCACAGAAAATGACATTGAATTTCATTTATTGTTTAGGTCCTGAATTGGCTGAACCTTGAGTCTTTATCATAAAAATGAAATTAAGAGTATGTGCAGAGAGTCAATTCCTGCAAGGAGTTGTATCTTTAATGTTATCAGCCAGGCTTTTGAAAGTGAAAAACTGGCACTAAAAGAGTTTCATGCCTGACCTTGGTTCCACAATTAGACACCTGGGAACTTTTTCTTTTCCATTCATTTGCAGAGGCAGCTAGTTTACTTTGAATTTACTTTGAGGTCTTAAATCAGATAATGGTGTAAAAAGTTGTCTTTGTAACTGAGAATATTGTTATTTTCCTATGTCAAATGAGCTCTGAAACATATCCTAGCAATATTTCTATTCATCAAAATTGTACAGCTTAAGAAGAAATCACTTTCCTGACTAATCACAGTTATACGTGTGCCCAGAAGATGGAATATATACACAAGATTAAGACACAGGCAGTGGGAAAATACCCATACCTATTTTCAGGGAAGAAATGTAGTGGCACAAGAGAAAACTTACAGATAGAAGCAACAAGGTGTCAAAGTGTGTGACTGTGTAAGCCTTGCTTGACAAGGTTTGCCTATCAGAGAGTTTTTCACCTGGTGGGTTGGTACCTAAATTATTAATTTCTATCTGTTATTTTTATGTCATAGCCTGTAACACTCCGGGACTCTAGATTGACAGCTAGAGAGCCTTCATGGGACCAACTTAGGTCCCCCTGCATGTGGGTGACAGTTGTGTAGCTTGGTCTCTTTGTGGGGCCCCTAACAGAGAGATCAGGGCCTGTCCCTGGCACATGAGCTGGCTTTTTGGAACCTAATACCCATACTTTGATTCTTTTCCAGCCTTGATGCATGGAGAGGAGCTTGGTCCTGCCTCAACTTGATATGCCATGCTTTGCTGACTCCCATGCGAAGATTTCACCTTGCTGAACAGAGGAGGAGTGGATGGTGGGGTAGACGTGAAGTGGGGGGTAAACAGGAAGAGAGGGAGGAGGGCAAACTGTGGTCGGTACATAAAAAAAATGAAAAAAATATTAATAAAAAAAGAAAAAAAATTTCCAATGCAGGACAGGATTGTTGTTGCTTAGAAGTAAATTTAGATAGAATATCTGTTATATCATTTCAAGAATATGGATGGATTAAACATTTCATTTGACTTATAATTGATATCTTCAGTTTTTGAAAGAAATGGAGCATATGTAAGGACAGTTATAATAGCAATATTACATTTGGTCTGCTGATTAGTGAACAATGCCCAGCAAATTGGATGTATCCTACTGGGAGTTTTTGCCATCATTTAGGGAGTTTCACTGTGCATCATTGATCACAGGATTGATGACAGGAAGAAATAAATATTCTCTGCAAACTGTCTTTCTTAAGGAAAATTGACATGCAAAGAATAATTCTTGATACCCTTGTTCCTTCACTTAAAGTATTCTTCAGAAGAATATTTTCTTACATCCCCAGGTGAGAGATAATATTTTATTTTCCTTCCTTTAAAAAAAAGTTAAATGATGCCTGAATCAAATATGAAGGCTTTCCCAAATATATTTTCCAATATATGTGGAAATATCTTTTCAGGGCATTTATCTAATAAATAGAACACAAAGCAATTCCACTGGAAGAGCTAACTCCCTATGGACTCACAGTTACCTGTTTGTGGACCAAAAATTTGATCTCCATCATGAGGTTTTTGTGAAGTCCATTCAGGTAGCCTCTAAATATGCTTCTTATTAACAACAGTGGGGAGCTTAGCTTTATTGACTATTGAGGGGTACTGCACCATAGAAAACCTAGTACATTATAGTGAAACTTTAAACCAAACTTCATAAACTTGTATATGAATAATATTAAGTCAAATGTGGACTCACATATTCTGAAAATTTAGGTTCTATATCCTTAATTAAGATAATGTAATCAAACCAATCTGTCAAAAATTCAGTTAATGTTTAAATAAATTTTAAAAATATCCTAGAATCCTAGTTAAATCTCTCAGAGGTATGTGGCATCCAGGCAGTATCTGCCTGCTTCCTCACCTGGTTCTTGGTTCACATAAGCATTCCTAGAAACAAGAAGAAAGGAAGAGCCCACCACACTGGGAACATCAATTACATTAGTAAATTTTTGGCAAATAACAAATAAAATCTTACAATTTTTGGAGATCAGATGTTTGAATTTACTTCAAATGTATCAGCTTTAATTAATGTCTTTACAAGTCTAATAAAACTATAAACAGAATTTTTTTCTCTGTTCCCAGAAAGTATGGAGAAGGAAAAACTTCCCAGGATAGTGTCCTATTTAAATGAAACAGTCCCTAAATAACTTTCTATGTAACATTCAAGTACTCCATATTTTTACTTCTTTAAGATTATTCTTAGTCAACATGCTTTTTATTTAACTCTATATTCCAATGGTTCTCCATTGTTTTTGGTTTGTTATGATGATTCTTGGAAAATTGCTTTCAGGAGACCACAGATATAAGCATGAGGATTTTAGTTAAATCCATAATAAAATGGTAAAGGGAAAAATGCAAAAATTTGTATTCATACAAGCCTATTTGTTGGGTCTTATAACAACCCATGATGGTCTATTTTTTAGACATTCATGCCTGCTGTTAACAGTTGACCTATTCCTCTTTTAGTTTACCAATGCAGTGTTGTGTACATACACAACATACACAAACACATTATTTCCAGGATTCTGCATATGTTGGCATTACAGAAATGCAATGTGGTGGTGGTTTCTCCAATTCCCTCCTCCTTGGTTTCTCCTGGATCTATCTTCACTTGCAGACTTATTGTATTCATGGATACATGTTGATCTTTGTTTTTTTTTTCTTTGACTATTATGTATATAGCCATTATCAATCTGTTTTTGAACTTCAGTCACATAATTTTCTATAATTTCTTTCTTTCTGTCTTTCTTTCTATCTTTCTTCCTTTCTTTCTTTTTTAAGCTACTTGGTAATGAACTGTGAAAGTGGACAACCTAACTCCCAATAAGAGATATCAGAAGTTTGGGTTTTCACAAGGATCATCTGTACAGAGTCACATATTGTGTCCCCTGGGAGCACCTTCCCGAAGTAGTCTGTGCATAGACTCTCCATTGTAAGTGCAGCTTGGCTCACAACCTTAGTGACTTTTCTAATCCCTGTGTTCAAATGCTTGATGAGAAGCAACTTAAAGAGGGGAGGATTTTCATTTTAAAAAATAAACTTAATTTATTTTTTATATAGTTGGATGTTTTGCCTACTGAAGGTCTGTGCACCCCATGTGTGCTCCCTGCCCTCAGAGGCCTGAGGAGAGTGATGGATACTCTGGAACTGAACTTAAATATGGTTGTGAGTCACCATGAAGGTGCTGGGAACTGAACAAGGATCCTTTGGAATAGCAGCTAGTGCTCTTAACCACTAAGCCATTTTCCCATCTCCTATATTTCTTTCCTTCTCACAGTTTCTCATTGTATACATTGCAAACTTCAGCACTTAGATTGAATCTAGTTATTGCAAACATTAGCTTTTCTTTTCACTGTTTTTTTTTTTTGTAATGTTACATTCTGCCTTCACTTTGAAAATGTTCATTCATAAAATTGAAAGGAATTTACTGGGTTTTTCCCCATAATTTTGTTGAGAAAAAATACAAAGGTCTACTAGAAAGCTATGACGATGTAAAGAGCAGAAAAAAGCAGAAATAAAATTTATTACTTGACTATTAATATCTTAAGATGAAAGACATAGTTAGTATCCTTACAATATAAAACTTTTGAAAGATATATGTGTATATATAAAATGAAAGTAGAAAGGATATCATCTAGAAGAAGAAAGGAGATTAGAAAAGAGGGAGGAAAATGGGAGAAGTTCTTGGGTGTATTTTCAAAGTATATAGTACAATAGACTGAAAATGATGTTTATATAAACTATCACTTTGTATAATAATTATTTATTAATAGTAAAATTTTAAATTTTATGGGAAATTAAAAAGACTTTTCAAATTGAGTGAGTGTCTTTTTAAGACATTTTAGGATAAACCTGGCATGGTGACATGTGCCTTTAATCCCAAAACTTTGGAGACAGAGACAGGTGGATATGAGTTTGAGGCCAGCCTAGTCTGCATATTAGCACCAGGATAACCTGGGCTAGAAAGACAAAACCTGTTTCAAAAAAAAAAGAAAAACCAGCAAACAACCAAAAAGACTTTTTAGTATAAAGTATATTATGTATTTTATCATTCTAAATTTTGTATACAATCTCTCTATATCTTTCTCTCTCTCATATGCACAGAGACAAACAGAAAACATACACTATATAATGGATTCAGATATGCATGAGACCAGGTAATTTAGTGTCTATGGTCTCATTAATTATCTTTCAGATAATTGAATGCTCAAAGTTGATATACTAAAATTGTTCAGAAAAATATTTTCTGTTTCTGGCATGTTTCAAAGCAGACATATACTTTCTTATCTGTTGATTGTGGAGCACCTGAAGCACAGGTAAGTGGTCTCAATCCAGTCCTATTCTTACTGAGTGTTAGTTATATTTAAAAAAAAAAGAATCTCCTCCCTCCTTGCAGTGAGCAGCCTGAGGAGGTGTGATGGAAGGAAACTGGACCCAGCTGACTGAGTTTGTTCTCAGAGGAATAACAGATCGTCCAGAGCTGCAAGTCCCCCTCTTCCTGGTGTTCTTCTTCATCTATGTCACCACTATGGTGGGCAACCTTGGTTTAATCTTTCTCATCTGGAAGGATCCCCATCTTCACACTCCCATGTATCTTTTCCTTGGGAATTTAGCCTTTGCTGATGCCTGTTCTTCATCTTCTGTGACTCCAAAGATACTTATGAAATTTTTAAATAAGAATGACATGATATCCCTGGGTGAGTGTTTCTCCCAATTTTATTTTTTTTGTTCAAGTGCAACTGCGGAATGTTTCCTCCTGGTAGCAATGGCCTATGACCGCTATGCGGCCATATGCAACCCTCTGCTCTATCTAGTGGTGATGTCCAACAGACTCTGTGTTCAGTTCATAAGTGTGTCATATCTAATTGGACTTCTACATGGCTTGCTTCATGTAGGAATGTTATTTAGGTTAACGTTTTGTAGTTCCAATATAATAGATCATTTCTACTGTGAGATTTTCCCACTCTATACAATTTCTTGCACTGACCCATCCATTAATGCATTGGTTGCTTTCATTTTTGCTATTTTTATACAAGTGAGTACTTTCATGAGCATTATAGTTTCTTATATCCGTGTGCTTTTTGCCATCCTGAAAAAAAGGTCTGAGAAAGGCAGGAGCAAAGCCTTCTACACCTGCAGTGCCCATCTGGCATCTGTCTCTTTGTTTTATGGCACCCTCTTTTTCATATATGTGCTCTCTGGATCTGACACAGACAATTATCAGGGTAAAATGTACTCATTGTTCTACACCGTTATCATTCCTCTGCTAAACCCCTTTATATACAGCCTAAGAAATAAAGAAGTTTTAGATGCCTTGAGAAAACTCACAAAATGATGACTACTTTCTGAAAACTTAAAGATGTTTTCTATGACCAGATTCTCTCTGTTTAAGGTCATCATAATATTTGGCCCTGTACATTGCATACAATATGGATTTTTTTATATCATGTTAAGTAAAGCAATAAAATGTAGACAATATTGCCTGTCTTCTCTCTCTCCTCCTTCTCCTCCTTCTCTTCTTTTTCCTCCTCTTCCTCCTCCTCTTCCTCCTCCTCTTCCTCCTCCTCCTTTTTGTTATAAAAATGGTGAAGTCTTTAAGCAAAGATAGAGCATGAATTATTTTTGAATTCAGACCCAAAGGAGAACATGGATTATTCACAAATTATTGTCTTCATAAGGTTAATAAATTATTCTTTTCCTAATACATGTGTTTATATATTATTGAAACAAACTCCAAACGTATGGATTCAATTTGTACTTTTCTTTTACTGATTTTTTTGTTTTATAAATGTATGCATTGCACATGATCGTAAGTATCACCCACTGTCCCCTCCCATTTTCCCTCACACCCACTGATTCTCTTCTTACTGTCCAACACTGCCCCTCCCTGCTTTCATGTCTGTTTATTCAGGCATCCTCCACTGCTGTATGTTCATAATTCCAGTGACCACGTTGAATACAGAACATAGTGTTCACAGAACCCCTCTCCTTCCTCTGGCTTTTACATTTATTCTTCCACTCTCCATCATGTTCCTTAGGCTTTGGAGCAGGTGTTATAGTTGTCCAGTTCAGGACTTAGAGTTCCAGTTCAGGATTCTAGAGTTGCTTATTTTCAGCACTTTAGTTAGTTTTTTAAACTTTGTTTTTTTGGAAATTTTATATATTGTACAGTATTTATACCATTTCTAGTCACTGTCTTCATCATCCATTTTTTTTTTCTGTCATCTCCATCCTCTCACATTCAAAAGCCCTCTTTTGAGTCTCTGCATTAAGCATTGTCTTCCACAATAAGAAGCTTCCGAGACCAAGACTGAAAGCTGCACCAATCAGTGGTTAGTAATACACCCGTTTAGAAAGTAGTTTGACCTCATGTCCATTTAGCACAATAAGAAGTAGTAAATCCAACCCCACAGGGCTTGTGACCACCCTATCCAGGTGCTTTCGGTCATGTTCACAGTACCAGGATTGCATTCCTTCCTTGGAATCCATATAAGATCCAATCATTAGGCCATTGGTTAGCCTCTAGCAGTCGTGATGACACTAAATCAGTGGACACAAATTGCTTGACAGGTGTCAGGGCCATTGATGAGTGTTCTCCCCCTGCAGCCTCAATAGCACCTTCTAGGACTCTGAGGGCTAGGGCTACTCAGCAGGGAGAGAGCTTCTAGCTTGTCTCCAGTCTGTTGTCTCTCTGTTCTGGGTCAAGTGTCTTCAGCAATAGAGTTTTACCATGTACTTCTGGTCAGCACCTAAGAGAAAATACAACTTTGCTCTGGGATCTGCTGGTCCCTCCACTGTTAACTCATGGAGAATTATCCTGCACTTGACAATGATAATTTTCTTAAAACACTCATGGATTCCAGTATCAGCAGTGACCAGCAAGTCAAAGTACCTCAGTTCAAATTTCTTTTATTATTGCTATCTATAGTGTTAATATTTTTAACTAGCTCTCAAAGTAGTAGTTTTCCTCATTTATGCAACGAAAACCTGGTATTTCAAATCTTCTTAATTTCTTCTCTCAAATCTCCTGACATGTGATTACATAATTTGTATATAATAGGGATAGTTTTATTTTTATAATAAGTGCATATTACACACATCACACTGTATTTGATGGAGAAAAAAATACTAACAGTAACCTGAATATTCCACTCTAAATATTCAACATCAGACATCAGAAGGTTTTCACTTTTCTTCATTTGACAGTGGTTGACTTTGCCTTTGGTCAACACTATTTGCCTTGCATTACAATTTTTAAACTTTAGTTATCTTACAGTTATTTACATATTGCATTCACCCCATCATTCCCTCTTTCCCCATTCCTTTCCCTCTGGACACCTTCTTCTTACTTAGTTACCTTAAAGTGGCAGGTTTTTATATACCTTTCTCACGCACCCACAGTTTTGGTTTACTCTCACCTTTCTTTCCCCTATGTCTACTTCCACACCCCCATTTGTACCTTACCAATCTTGGTATCTTCTATTTTCATATTGTTTGTGTTTTAATGTCCACATCAAGACTTTACCCCAAACCCCATATCCTGCACCTCCTCTCTAGCTTTCTGTCCTGTAAAGATGCTCTCTCAACCTTAATCACAAAAATAAAAAAAAAAATTTCAAAACTAAGTTCCTCAATTAGGAGTAACACATAGAGTTTATCTGAGTTACATCACTTACTATAATATTTTTAGCTTTACTCATTTTCCTGGAATTTCCAATTCATTGTGTTTACAACTCAATTGAAGTGAATTAAATAGTGTGTGTGTGTGTGTGTGTGTGTGTGTGTGTGTGTGTGTGTGTGTCTCGCATGTTAATTTTCCACCATAATTTGCTAACTATCTTGGTTAATTATATTTCCCAGATATTATGCACAAAGCAGCAATGATCATGGGTATTCTGATATCTGCATCAGAGAGTGTAGAGTTATTTGGGTATATACAGAGCGGTGGTATAGCTGGGTCTCATGATATTTCCTTTTTAGCTATTTGAGAAACCTGTGTACTGGCTTCTCTGGTTGTTGTATATGTTTACACCCTCTCCAAATGATCATTATGGTTCCTCTTTTTCCATATCACATCAGCATTTATTTTCTATTTTAAATTAATTTTTTCTTTTATAATTCCATAAATTTAATACATAATTATTGGTGAAATTATTAAGATCACTCCACCTAGTTAAAAGGAGATTTACTTAATGGCATAACTTACAAATGAAGGGATAGGTAGGTTGAGGGGTCTGGGAAAGACGCAGCGTAGTCCCATGGTGTTCTCTGGAGAGCTCTGTTGGTCCACCTCTAGCATCCGGGTTTCCAGCAGCAAGAGAATCTGGTGTGTCCCGATCTTGGGTCTTCAGGGCCCTCCCTTGGCCCCACCTTGTAGATGTGACAGTTACCAAAGCCTTAATGGGGGTTGGAACTTCCAGGCCAAAGCTGGAATGGCTACTGACTACACATAATGTTCTTTCTTCAAAAATCTCTCTCATTGTCCTCTTCTATTCTCTTCCATCTCTCACCCAAGTACCTTCTTCTTTGTTCAAAATCCCTCTCATTATACTCTTCTATTCTTTTCCATCTCTCACCAAGTACCTTCTTCTTCCCAAGTGATGCCATTAAAATATTGATAAACTGAATCCAAGAACACATCAAAAAATCATCCACAAAATCAAGTAGGCTTCATCCCAAAGATGCAGAGATGGTTCAACATCTGAAGATATGTCAAGGTAATCTACCATATAAAAAAACTGAAATAAAAAATACCCACATGATCATCTCATTAGATGCTGAAAAAGCCTTTGACAAAATTCAACACTCCTTCATGATAAAGGTCTTGGAGAGATCAAGGATTCAAGTAAAATATCTATACATACTAAAAGCAATATACAGCAAGTTGACATCCAACATTAAATTAAATGGAGAGAAACTCAAAACAATTCCACTAAAATCAGGAACAAGACGACAAGGCCGTCTAATCTCTCCATATCTATGCAATAAAGTGCTCAAAGTACAGCAAAAGGAGATCAAGGTGATACAATTGCAAATAAGGAAGTCAAACTTTTGCTATTTGCAGATGATAATATAGTATACATAAGTAACCCCAAAAATCCTACCAGGGACCACCTACAGTTAATAAACATCTTCAGTGAAATGACTGAATACAATATTAACTAAAAAAATCAGCAGCTCTCCTATGTACAAATCAAAATGGACTGAGAAAGTAATTAGGGAAGCACACACTTTACAATAGCCACAAATAACATAAATATCTTAGGGTAACTCTAACCAAACAAGTGAAAAACATTGTATGACAAGAACTTTAATTCTTTGAAGAAAAAATTGGAGAATATATCAGAAAATGTGAAGATCTCTCATTCTCATGGATTGGTAAGATTAACATAGTAAAAATGGCAATTTTACCAAAAGCAGTCTACAAGATTCAATGCAATCCCCCTAAATCCAACACAATTCTACAAAGACCTCAAAAGAACAATAGTCAACTTCATATGAAAAAAAACCCAGGATAGTTTAAATAATCCTATACAATGAAGGAACATCCAGATGTATCACCAACCTTGATTTCAAGCTCTACTATAGAACTATGGGAATAAAAACATTATGATATTGGCATAAAAACACACAGTTATATTAGTGGAATCAAATCAAAGACTCTCATATAAATCCACACATATATGAAGGCCTGATTTTTTAACAAAGAAGCCAAAATTATACAATGAAAAAAAGAAAGCATCTTCAATAAATAATGAGGCATAATTGGATGTCAGCATATAGAAGAATGCAAATAATCCCTATTACCCTGCACAAAATTCACGTACAAGTAGATCAAAGACCTCAACATAAATCTAGTTACAATGAACCTGATAGAAGAGAAAGTGGAAGAAGTCTTGAACTCATTGGCATAGGAGACAAGTTCCTGAATAGAACACCATAGCACAGACACTGAGAACAACAATTAATAAATGGGACATCCTGAAACGAAAAAGCTTCTGTAAGGAAAAGAACACTGTCAATAAGACAAAATGGCAGCCTACAGAATAGAAAAAGGTCTTCACCAACCCCACAATTGACAGATTTTATATATATAAACTAGACAGGAAAATACAAAACAATCCAATTAAAAAATGGGGTACAAATCTAAACAGAGAATTCTCAACAGAAGAATCTCAAATGGCTGAGATACACTTAAAGAATTGTTAAACATCCTTAACTATCAGGTAAATGCAAATCAAAATGGTCTGAGATACTATCTGACACTTGTCAAAATGGTTCAGATCAAATACACTGATGACAGCTTATGTTGGAGAGGATGTGGAGCAAGGGAAACTCTTTCACTGTTTGTGGGAGCATAAACTTGTACAGCCACTTTGGACATCAGTATGGCGCCTTCTCAGAAAACTGGGAATCAATCTACCTCAATATCCACCTATACCAATTTTGGATATATACCCAAGGAATGCTCCATCAT